CTCCAGGATGGCTTTTGGTACATCAGTTCACGTTTTTTGGCCGTATACATGGCCGCCAGCACTCATACACTGCATGCAAACTTCAACAGGACTGGCCCTTGAAGTCACAACATTGGCCACCTCTCGGTACCGAGTGCCTAGCTCATGCTGTCATGCCGGTGCAGCGCAGTTTCGTGAGCTTGATGCAATGGCAACTCTTAAGCATCTCAAGAAGGTTTGGCTGCTGTATGCATCAGCAAGCCACTTGAATGCCTCCCAGTGCCAGGGCATCAGTAACGTGTCAACAAAGCGAAGTGCGACTTGTCTAGTGGCCTCAGAGGCCTCATCGTGCATGTTGGATGATGAAAGCGGCTGACACTACTCAAACGAAGCACGCTACCACGCATTGACACTCCACAGCATCATTGAAGCAGTCTAGCCCACAATGTGGCTGATCGGTTTTTACGAGGTCGCGTTAGCAGCAACACCAGGGAGTTGCTGTGCAGCATGTGTACAACGCACCTACCGGCCATACGGCCTCGCTGCACGATTTCTGCTGCAAAACAAAGCGCTAGCATGCACTTGATGCATGCTGGGCCATCGGGTCAGCGAGATGTACCCACTCGCCTGTCGCCCAGCTCCAATCGTGATCCCCCACCACAACCACGGCTTGCTGCCCACCGGCGCCTTCTCGCCGCACGGTGTGCGTATCAAATATAAATCTAAAGTCATCACCAATAGCTGTGCGAGCTCCGTTCAGATATGGTGGTGTGTGTGGTGTGCGCTGTGCACGTGCCGCGATGTGTGTTCAAACGCAAAACTGCAAACTTGGCGACTTTTGAACTTTTTTGCCGCCAAAACCGGGGCTCGAAACCGGTTTGGCGACTTTGCCGCTTTCTTTCGCGGTATAAATCAGGTAACTGTCAACATGTGAGGGTACCGGCTGAAGCGTGACACGGTCAGCTTTCAGATGGGCAAGGTTTCATACTCGTTGTCATTCATACGCAAAACTTTCATTTGAGGTCACATTTGGTGAAAAATACTTGTGGGACAGAGGAAGTATACACAGCCTGGGAGCATACACGTTGTACATCACGCATAGATGCTATGTCACGATGGCTGCAATTATCAGTGGGCTGACATACCATAATGACATAGTTTGGACGCAGGGTGTCCAACCTCAGCTAGTCTCATTCTTGTGCAGCTTCACACGAGGTACTGGCAGTCTGTGTGATGCACACCTCCTCAGGCTGGCCAAAGTTATTTGGCTGGCTGTACACGTTCATGCACAAATGCAACCTGAAACCCAGGCTAGTAGCTGTTGGCAAATGCGGTCTGAGACGTGCTGATGTGCGTATTCACAGTGCTCTACTAGCTGCACATGTGGAGCTGAAAAAAGTTGTAGCTGGTGACCACTTGGGCTGTGCTGGAAGTGTATGCATGCTGTGGGCCCCTTGGATGTGCCGCTCTCACTGTGTACTGTGTCCAGTGCTCAACGCATGCTTACACTGGGACCATTGCATGACATGCCATAGATACCTTCTGCTGCCAACCTATTAAAAAAGCATGAATTGTGGGAATCTGCCCCTTTATCCGCCCCACAACTTCATCTTTCAACTTCCGTAACTGCCATCTACCGTTGGTACAGTTGCCCACCACGAGGCCCACTACTTTGGCACCCTTGGTGTGGTGTAACTGCCACCTATGATTGGTTAGTTGTCTACCAATCAGGCCCACCACTCTGGCCCTGGGTGTGCCCACACTGGCTCTCTAAGTTGCCAACTGTTGGCAGCAGCTCTCCTCTGCTCCCTTGCAATGCAATCACTCTTAACCTGCAACACGACAGTGTCAGACTTTGCAACCCTGCCCTGCCTTGCCAACCTGGAGTCAACAAGTGGCCTGCTGTTTTTCACCTACAGCTGAGTGTGGGCTGACCTACAACTGGTCTGGCCATCACACACTCTGTGTTTTGGGGCTTAAAACAGCCTACCCCACAGAATCGCCTTTGTAGCTCAGGGACAGAGGGTACCCCTCCTACGGGTAAGGTCTCGGGTTCAAATCAAAACACCGGGAGCTTGATACTGCTACATACATCATTACGACCGCCCTGAAGGTCAACGATGTGTGCCAAGGGGCAATGGCACTCGAAAAACAATCTGTTGTTTTGATGATGGACCATGCAATTTCTACCACACCGAGCTTGCTTTGGGCGCACTGCAAGAAAAACCTGTTACAGTGGTAAAAGTCAAGCTTGCCATGAATCCATGTACATGTATGTATCTTGTGGAAATTAATTTGACAGTGTCACCGCCCGTGTACTGCATTTGGGAACTGCCACGTGGTTCCCTGGTCTGTGGAGCAGCTCTATGAATCAACGCCCTTGATGGGGTATATGATACATATGTGCTTGATTTACTTCCGCTTGACGGGCGGAAACCCTATGAAAAGTGCAAAGCATATGCAGCCGTTGGGGGGTACAGCATCCAAGTCCCCCTTAGACCCCGGCTGTCAAGCAATTGTTGAAGTTGTGTGCTGAGCGGTGTGTGTGGTTAAAAGGCCCTGAAATACTGCTATCAAACTGTGTCAGCTCACAACCTGCCAGCTTTGGCAAAAGGCCAGAGAGCACTACTGTCCCCAGCACCTAGACGCCTAGCCCACTTCCAAGACACATTACGTGAGTAACTCATGACCGATATCAGATGACTGGCTGCTCCTGCAGTGCCATGGCAACCACTGGAATGTCCTGCTCGCATACTCCGTAGCAACGGCCCTCTGCGCCCCGATGCTGCCAAAAGACTCAACTGCCAGATTGGCAAGATTTTTATTTCAGCAATTCTGACTGATAGTGCCAGCGGGTCTGTTCGGCGGCTTGTTGGTGACGGTAACACTGCTTGGGGTCCGCTGCAGTCTGTGCCGCCTGCGACTGCGCCTGTGCCTCGAAGCAGGTGACATCCACCATGAACGGTAACCGTTCAACAAGTTGCTGGCGCGCCAAGTCGTCGTAGGCGCCAGTGGCGGGAAAGGCGTCGGCAGGCAGCACGATGTCCGACCATCCTGCGATCCCCTCGAGATGCCAGGAATGGCGTGCACAACTACTAGTAGTACTCATTGTCGGCTGCCATGGCCGTCTTGAGATGCTGCCGCACGATGCGCTGTATGGCCCGCTTGACGCTGTTGTGCATGGTACTGTCACGTGCCTTGACGCGTGGTGCGTGACAGACGCGCGCGTGCAAATTGCCAGTTCAGGCTGCAGTGTGCCGTCGGCTGCTCCACCACGAAGGAGTGCTTCAGAGCCACTGGCAGCTGCCAGCGCACTCCATCAAATGGAGAGCCTTTTGTTGTGGGTACATTCAGTTTGGTCCGTTGAGGAATGGCCTCGCGCTGCGACCGAAATCTAGCAAGTGCCTGGCAATGCATGCGCTGCGCACCGTGCGCCAGCTGTTGCAGCTCCGCCTCCACTGGTGGCACCTTATTGGCAAGCACGGTGCCGACGGCGTCCGCAAACGCACTTTGGGTGAGGCGCCTTTCAGATTGGCCGCACTGCAAGTGCAGAGCAATGACATCAATGCCACCATACATATGTGCAGCATCTTAGTCCCGCCTGCTTGCTGCTGCTGCACCGGCGGCGGAGCCGGCGCCGCTGCCACCGAGTGCTGCTGCCGAAGCTGCTGCAGTGCAGTGGAAAGTGACGGTGCTGCTGACGGTGGCGGTTGCCGCTGATGTTGCAGCAGCGGCAACAGGGCTGGTGGCAGTAGCTTGCTCACCATTTGCCGCAAGCAGAACGACTGTCATGCGCACAGCCTGACTCTCAGTGGCTACCATCTGCATGAGGGGCAGGTGTGCTGCCTTTAAAGGTCCGCCGCACAGCGGCTGCGCCTTGTAAACCGGCTGTAGTGGAACGCGCAGAATGTGGCGCGTGCTGCTGCAGGCACTGAAGCAGCCTGAGTGGCTGTGCCGCCACGGCCTGCCGCCGCTGCTGCTGGTGCTGCCATGCATGTACATACTGTATCGGTATATCTGCTGCTGTTAAGGGTGGAATTGCTGTGAAACACGCAAACCATCGTGGTGCGGCTTTGATGTCCCATGCAAAGCAGATGCTGACAGCGCACAAGCAGGCTGGCAGCTGAAAGCAAGTGGTACTTCTATATACCTGACCCCACCTCCAGCAACCGCTGTCCCCTTAATAAGCACCGTGACCGCTTCAGCCCCGGCCCGAGGTCACTGCGCTCGCACGCCGCACACTCCTCTGCCATCATGGCTCCGATGGAAGCGCGCTGGCTTCACCGCATGTGTTACTTGCAGCAGCTGCAGCTGCAGGTGATGACCCGGGTGACACTGTGGCACTGTCAGCTTGCACAGCACACACAAGACATTGTCAGTCAGACTGTCAGTAAGTAGAACCTGAATGCTGCATGCATATATACACAGCCTGGGAGCATACACGATGTGCATCACGCATAGATGCTATGTCACGATGGCTGCAATTATCAGTGGGCTGACATACCATAATGACATAGTTTGGACGCAGGGTGTCCAAACTCAGCTAGTCTGATGCTTGTGCAGCTTCACATGAAGTACGGGCAGGCTGTGTGATGCACACCTCCTGGCCAAAGTTATTTGGCTGGCTGTACACGTTCATGCGCAAAATTTAATGCAACCTCACACCCAGGCTGTTGGCACATGCGGTCTGAGACGTGCTGATGTGCGTATTCACAGTGCTCTACTAGCTGCACATGTGGATTTGAAAAACGTTGTAGCTGGTGACCACTTGGGCTGTGCTGGAGGTGTATGCATGCTGTGGGCCCCTTGGATGTGCCGCTCTCACTGTGTACGTATGGACTTGTATTTATAAAGGCCCAAGGGAGGCCGGGTTGCCTATGCAATCGAAAAGCTTGCGTCAACGCAGCAGCCTAGTCTGCGCTGTATACTGTGTCCAGTGCTCAACGCATGCTTACGCTGGGACCATTGCATGACATGCCATAGATACCTTCTGCTGCCAATCTATTAAAAAAGCATGAATTGCCTTTGTAGCTCAGCGGACAGAGCGTACCCCTCCTAAGGGTAAGGTCTCGGGTTCAAATCCCGACTAAGGTCATAGGCAACATTTTGTTTTTGTCTTGTGCGGAAGCACAAAAAATCGATCATCGTTTGTACACACGAGGTCAGTTGCAGCAATGCAAGGTATGCAAGCAATGCAACATAACATTTTCTCATTCTCGTACCCTGTACATCGGGAGTTGGCGGAGCGCGTCATGGCGTACACACGTGGAGCGCGAATGCTGGGCTGTGTTGCGGCGCCGGTATCCAAGCTCCTAGGGCACAGCGCAGACTAGGCTGCTGCGTTGACGCAAGCTTTTCGATTGCATAGGCAACCCGGCCTCCCTTGGGCCTTTATAAATACAAGTCCATACGTACATTGGGGTGCATCATAATTCAATCACATGTGGCGAAGTACTTTTTGATGAGCACAAATGCGTCATTTTTTGCATGCAAAGCTTGCATGCCATATGTACATAAGACATGCGCAAACCCACAAACATGCACGCACACACACACACACACACACACACACACACACACACACACGCGCATGTCATAGTTGTTATGTTGGTCAAGTAGCACTGCCTTTTCGTTGGAGAGACGAAAGAGAGGAGAGCATGTTCCTATCACCCCTGTGGGGATCCAATCCAGTTTTGGTGCCTCGGACCCCCCATGCCCTCCCCCCTCTCCTCTCCTCCCTCCATTCCCTGGTCTTGACCAAAATATCGGGAGTAGTGGGTGGGGCTCGCTCATCCCCTCCTTGTCGCCTTGGCTGCTACTCCTTGCGTGCCTCGAACGCTGCGTAAGTGAAGATATTCTTGCTAGCATGTCCGCTAGGGAAGTCATACTTTGTGACCCCCCCCATGGTGAAACACTTGCATACGTCAAGTCACTCAAGTGTCCTAGAAGTTGTTCAGGTCAAACATGGCTTGTTTTGTTCAGCAGTCAGTCACAAAGCCGGAGTTTAGACGCCACATAATCTGAGAACAAACACCATGCACACAGCACATATATTTACAGCAAAGCACTTGTTCCTAAAGCTGGTCCCAAAACCACATGATGTGCCAAACAACATGGCACTACGATCGCAGCAACACTTTGACGGCAGTCCTTGTGAAACACAGTGGATGACACTGGTGCAGTTGAGAAGCCTACTGTTGGCAACACAACAGCATGCTACGTGAGTGCAGGTACTCGGACCCAACATGTTTTGCAGTGATGCTGTTGTGTTGCTGTGACAGCCTGCGCCAGCATGAGCAAAGCACTAGCCTTTTCAACCATTGCACAACCATTGAACAAGTTTATTCATCATGTCTACCAAGTGACACCACAGGCTGGCCAGAAGTGCACTTGACGCAACCTCCCCTTCCTGCACATATGTTACACTCCTCTACTCATGTCGCCTGTCACGACGACAGCGTCAGCTACATACACCGCAGCCTGCACGGACTACTTGTGCCCCACCTCTCGTCCCTGACTCTTCCTCCCCTCATCTGATTACAGGTTTCACTAAACCCACGCAACGCCATTTCCCGGCAGCGCGTCCACTACACCCCCTACGGCCACACTGCGCCAAACAAGTATCAACACGCCTCCGAGCAGCGCCCGTCCAAGCCAGCGTGCGCATCGCTCAGTGAGAGGCACGCCCAGGCATCCGTGACGCCTCTGTAGCACTAAACCCTACTGCCGTGCGCAGCACCGCGCTGCGGCCACCGCTCGGATCGGGCAGGACCCAGTTGCGGAAGCGCGCAGCACTGCAGCAGCGCTCCACAGCCAAAGGCTCGTCCTGCAGCCTCTGCCGTCCGACCTTTTGCGGCATGAGCAGATGCCGCACACCCACAGCGACTGAGAACACAACGCACTCTGTTGCTGCTGCTGCTGCGCGCAAGCGAGCTCACGGCCGCGGGCGCAGCAGCACGCGCGCGCCGCCGCCCGCGCGCGTCGCGAAGCACGCGCAGTCGAGCCCGAACGCCTCCTTGTAGCCGCGCCGCAGGCGTCGCACGAGCGCGGGGACCGCGTCTGTCTGCGCCAGCGTCACCGTGCAGCCGCCGAAGCCTGCGCCGGTGAGGCGGCTGCCGTAGACGCCGTCGGTGGCGGCGGCGAGCTCCACGAGCTTGTCGAGCTCCGGCGCCGAGACCTGCGGAGGCAGGGTGGTGGCAGTGCTCATCAAGTCAAAGAGTTTCTTCTTTCTTGTGGTTGTGGGGGGCTTGGCGCATAGAAGGGCAGGGCATATGTGAAACTGCACAGTCCGGATGCACCTCCCGGGTCTCCCACCATTTGTGCACGGTAGCGGCAGGTGTGAGCCCCGCCCGGCGAAGCGCAGTGTGACGACCTGCGTTTGCCGCTGATCGCTGTCTACCGTCAGTGCAGCAAACAATGCAATACCTCACACGCACGTATGGCTGCGGTCGCGTTCATGCCCGATTGCTGTCGCGCACTTGTTGTCGCTGGCTGGCATCCATGCAAACAGAACCTGCCATCCTGAGGTGCGCCGAGAACACTCTTTTTGCATCACATGTGCCGACATCTGTGACCCTGCAGGTGTCCTTGGAAAGCTCAGGTGTGCACCACTTACCAACTGGCCGCCGCCATCATAAGCCTGAACTAACGCGTGACCCATTGCATCGAACCAGCGAGCCAGGCTCAGCCGCTGCGAAATGCACTATCATCCCGCGCGCCACAAGACCTATTAATAAGGCGCACCAGCAACTTCGCAACCGCAAGTGCCAGACAACTCGACGCATTGGCGTGCGACTGTCCGCAACGTCATGCCGCCACGATAGTAGCGGGCGGCACCCTCATGCAATCCGCTCACAGCCATCGGCGCGCCAAGACACTGAGCATAAATGCTCAGCGCTGGTGCTCACCTCATAGTTGTCACGCAGCGACGCGTGGCTCTCGAGCATGGCGGCTCCTGCGGCGTCGTAGTCCCTCTTGCGCAATGCGTCGGCGAAGTTCACGCAGCGCTCATTCTCAGTGACAACATGCCGGGCGCGTGCAAGTTCAACTTCGCTCATGCCGCCCCTTTTGGCCTCCTGGTGGGGGCAAGCGATGAGGGAAGGGGGCCGGGGGGGGGGGGGCAAAGAGGGACTGTCAGGGTATAGTCATCCTGTTGATACGCCAGTTACAAGTGTTGTGCCAGCTGGTGCAGCACCTGATGCTTGGGCAATCACTGCAGCAAAAGCATACGCGCAATATGGAAGGACACATTGCACAACAGCATAGGTAAAGGTACACACGCGCTCAGCTGCTTGAGTGCCTGCAAGGCGAGGCTCGCCCTCTCCACGCTTGTGACACTCGGAGCGCTGAAGGCCACGGGGACAGAATGCGTTGCGTGTGAGACCGTCAGCAGCTCTGCGACGTCGCTCTTGCACGCACATCAGAATGTGCAGCGACCAAACGCCAGAAACCGCAACGCAGCCGTGCCACTAGCTTCTCCACCCCAGCCCTTCCCAGCACATACCTGCATCATGCATGTTCGACACGCAAGAGACCAAGCAAGCACCTTCACGCCACCGGTACCCCCCGGCTGAAGCTCTCCCCCTCACCTGCTCGAGCGCAGGCAACTCAGCGCTGCGCAGCGAGTCCGCGCCGACCGCGCGCGCCGCCGCCGCGCACTGCGCGACGCGCACCGGGTACTGGCTGCCGCGCTGGCCGAGCGAGTGCGTGACGCGCGAGTCGGTGATGACGAGCGTCACGGCGCCGTCGTCCAGCGGCACGGGCTCGAACGTCTCGCTCGCGCAGTCGAGGAGGATCGCGTGGCCCGGCGGGCACAGTGCGCTCGCAAACTGATCCATGATACCGCACGGCGTGCCCAGAAAGTCGTGCTCCGCGCGGCGGCAGCGGCGTGCCTTGACGCGCGCGTCCTCCGGCGCCTGCGGGGGGGGGGAGGGGGAGGTTTCAGAACAGATGACGAAATTCACCCAGTCAACGGCGGGAGCAGTATACGGTATGGATGCTCGTGTTCACGCAGTATGGATGCTTAACTTCACGCACATATGTTGCGCGGTGTATATGCATACATCGAAGTTTATGTTGCGGCGGCAGCGGCGCGCCTTGACGCGCACGTCCTCCGGCACCTGCGGAGTGGGCAGGGGGGGGGGGGGGGGGGGGCAGGGGATTAGAATGAATGGTAAATGAAATGCAGCCAGTCAGAGGGGTGGGGAGGAAGTGGGGCAGGGGCTGAGAACGAATGGGAAATGAAATGCAGCCAGTCAGGGGGGGGGGGGGGGGGGGGGGGCGTTCAGCATGGATGCTTGAACGCACACAGTCATGCGTAGCGTGTCTGCCTGATTGTGTGCCGGGCACGGCCTTGTGTTGTGAGTGCACGGTGTGAACAAGGTCGCCGGTGCCGTGAAGATGCAGTATGAGGAAGACAAAGGTATGCTCATTGCGGTTGCTGGTGCGCATCACGCACTGCGTTTGCAACACCTGCCAGGCCAGCAGTGCGATTGCGGTACTTGGACCGTCTGTTGAATGGCAAAGCGCGGGAAGATTCAGGCGCTAAGCACAATAGCCTCTGATGCAGGACCTGCGGATGCTGTTGCAAGCGAAATAATTGCATAACATGGGCATGCAGGGGTGGCTGCATTTCTGAGGGCTCAGCTCAGGGGGAAGAACACAACAGCGGCAGGCCATGTCAGAAACCCCAGCGCTGACATACTCTTGCGGTTGCCAATGGTTGTGATGTATGTGTGTGTGCTTCACAATTTCGTTCAGCTCCTGCGCACACACTGGTGTTCCGACAAGAAGTTCGCACCATGAGCAAAACTGATGGCAGGTCACACTGCTTGACAAAGAGCCTCACGGCATCTGCCATTTGTCTTGACTCACTGATCCTACTGGCCACGTGTGCTGCTGCTTGCTACCACAGTGTGTGGAAACTCATGATGGCACCACTGCCTCTGAAGGCGATTTTGGACGTCAACATCAAGCCATGAATGCAACTGAAAGTTGTGCGTTCCTGTTCCGAATGCGTCGCGTGGTGTCTCACAAACCACACAGTCGCACAGAGATGCTGCCACTGCCACTACCTTGTGTACCTGCTGGAGTTG